TAAGCTGGAGGCACTGTAAGCTGGAGGCACTGTAAGCTGGAGGCACTGGAAGCTGGAGGCACTGTAAGCTGGAAGTACTGTAAGCTGGAGGCAGTGTAAGCTGGAGGCAGTGTAAGCTGGAGGCACTGTAAGCTGGAAGCACTGGAAGCTGGAGGCAGTGTAAGCTAGATGCACTGTTAGCTGGAGGCAGTGTAAGCTGGAAGCACTGTAAGCTAGAAGCACTGTAAGCTGGAGGCAGTGTAAGCTGGAGGCAGTGTAAGCTGGAGGCAGTGTAAGCTGGAGGCACTGTAAGCTGGAAGCACTGTAAGCTGGAGGCACTGTAAACTGGAGGCAGTGTAAGCTAGAGGCAGTGTAAGCTGGAGGCACTGTAAGCTGGAAGCACTGTAAGCTGGAGGCACTGTAAGCTGGAAGCACTGTAAGCTGGACGTAGTGTAAGCTGGAAGCACTGTAAGCTGGAGGCAGTGTAAGCTGGAGGCAGTGTAAGCTGGAAGCACTGTAAGCTGGAGGCAGTGTAAGCTGGAGGCACTGTAAGCTGGAAGCACTGTAAGCTGGAGGCACTGTAAGCTGGAGGCACTGTAAGCTGGAGGCACTGTAAGCTGGAGGCACTATGTAAGCTGGAGGCACTGTAAGCTGGAAGCACTGTAAGCTGGAGGCAGTGTAAGCTGGAGGCCCTGTAAGCTGGAGGCACTGTAAGCTGGAGGCACTGTAAGCTGGAAGCACTGTAATCTGAAAGCACTGTAAGCTGGAGGCACTGTAAGCTGGAGGCACTGTAAGCTGGAAGCACTGCAAGCTGGAAGCACTGTAAGCTGGTGGCACTGTAAGCTGGAGGCACTGTAAGCTGGAGGCACTGTAAGCTGGAGGCACTGTAAGCTGGGGCACTGTAAGCTGGAAGCACTGTAAGCTGGAGGCACTGTAAGCTGGAGGCACTGTAAGCTGGAGGCACTGTAAGCTGGGGGCACTGTAAGCTGGAAGCACAGTAAGCTGGAGGCACTGTAAGCTGGAGGCACTGTAAGCTGGAGGCACTGTAAGCTGGAGGCACTGTAAGCTGGAGGCACTGTAAGCTGGGGGCACTGTAAGCTGGAAGCACTGTAAGCTGGAGGCACTGTAAGCTGGAGGCACTGTAAGCTGGAGGCACTGTAAGCTGGAGGCACTGGAAGCTGGGGCACTGTAAGCTGCAAGCACTGTAAGCTGGAGGCACTGTAAGCTGGAGGCACTGTAAGCTGGAGGCACTGTAAGCTGGAGGCACTGGAAGCTGGAGGCACTGTTAGCTGGAAGCACTATAAACTGGAGGCACTGGAAGCTGGAGGCACTGTAAGCTGGAAGCACTGTAAGCTGGAGGCACTGTAAGCTGGAGGCACTGTAAGCTGGAGGCACTGTAAGCTGGAAGCACTGTAAGCTGGAGGTAGTGTAAGCTGGAAGCACTGTAAGCTGGAGGCACTGTAAGCTGGAAGCACTGAAAGCTGGAGGCACTGTAAGCTGGAGGCACTGGAAGCTGGAGGCACTATAAGCTGGAAGCACTGTAAGCTGGAGGCACTGGAAGCTGGAGGCACTGTAAGCTGGAAGCACTGTAAACTGGAGGCTCTGGAAGCTGGAGGCACTGTAAGCTGGAAGCACTGTAAGCTAGAGGCACTGTAAGCTGGAGGCACTATAAGCTGGAAGCACTGTAAGCTGGAGGTAGTGTAACCTGAAAGCACTGTAAGCTGGAGGCACTGTAAGCTGAAAGCACTGTAAGCTGGAGGAACTGTAAGCTGGAGGTAGTGTAAGCTGGAAGCACTGTAAGCTGGAGGCAGTGTAAGCTGGAGGCAGTGTAAGCTGGAGGCACTGTAAGCTGGAAGCACTGTAAGCTGGAGGCACTATAAGCTGGAGGCAGTGTAAGCTGGAGGCAGTGTAAGCTGGAGGCACTGTAAGCTGGAAGCACTGTAAGCTGGAGGCACTATAAGCTGGAGGCAGTGTAAGCTGGAGGCACTGTAAGCTGGAGGCACTGTAAGCTGGAGGCACTGTAAGCTGGAAGCACTGTAAGCTGGAGGCACTGTAAGCTGGAAGCACTGTAAGCTGGAGGTAGTGTAAGCTGGAAGCACTGTAATGCTGGAGGCAGTGTAAGCTGGAGGCACTGTAAGCTGGAAGCACTGTAAGCTGGAGGCACTGTAAGCTGGAGGCACTGTAAGCTGGAGGCACTGTAAGCTATAAGCACTGTAAGCTGGAGGCAGTGTAAGCTGGAGGCACTGTAAGCTGGAGGCACTGTAAGCTGGAGGCACTGTAAGCTAGAAGCACTGTAATCTGGAAGCACTGTAAGCTGGAGGCACTGTAAGCTGGAGGCACTGTAAGCTGGAAGCACTGCAAGCTGGAAGCACTGTAAGCTGGAGGCACTGTAAGCTGGAGGCACTGTAAGCTGGAGGCACTGTAAGCTGGGGGCACTGTAAGCTGGAAGCACTGTAAGCTGGAGGCACTGTAAGCTTGAGGCACTGTAAGCTGGAGGCACTGTAAGCTGGAGGCACTGTAAGCTGGGGGCACTGTAAGCTGGAAGCACTGTAAGCTGGAGGCACTGTAAGCTGGAGGCACTGTAAGCTGGAGGCACTGTAAGCTGGGGGCACTGTAAGCTGGAAGCACTGTAAGCTGGAAGCACTGTAAGCTGGAGGCACTGGAAGCTGGAGGCACTGAAAGCTGGAAGCACTGTAAGCTGGAGGCACTGTAAGCTGGAGGCACTGTAAGCTGGAGGCACTGTAAGCTGGAGGCACTGTAAGCTGGAGGCAGTGTAAGCTGGAGGCAGTGTAAGCTGGAGGCACTGTAAGCTGGAGGCAGTGTAAGCTAGAAGCACTGTAAGCTGGAGGCACTGTAAGATGGAGGCAGTGTAAGCTGGAGGCAGTGTAAGCTGGAGGCAGTGTAAGCTGGAGGCAGTGTAAGCTAGAAGCACTGTAAGTTGGAGGCACTGTAAGCTGGAAGCACTGTAAGCTGGAGGCAGTGTAAGCTGGAGGCAGTGTAAGCTGGAGGCACTGTAAGCTGGAAGCACTGGAAGCTGGAGGCAGTGTAAGCTGGATGCACTGTTAGCTGGAGGCAGTGTAAGCTGGAAGCACTGTAAGCTAGAAGCACTGTAATCTGGAGGCACTGGAAGCTGGGGGCACTGTAAGCTGGAAGCACTGTAAGCTGGAGGCACTGTAAGCTGGAGGCACTGTAAGCTGGAGGCACTGTAAGCTGGAGGCACTGTAAGCTGGAGGCACTGTAAACTGGAAGCACTGTAAACTGGAGGCATTGGAAGCTGGAGGCACTGTAAGCTGGAAGCACTGTAAGCTGGAGGCACTGTAAGCTGGAGGCACTGTAAGCTGGAGGCACTGTAAGCTGGAAGCACTGTAAGCTGGAGGTAGTGTAAGCTGGAAGCACTGGAAGCTGGAGGCACTGTAAGCTGGGTCACTGTAAGCTGGAGGCACTGTAAGCTGGAGGCACTGTAAGCTGGAGGCACTGTAAGCTGGGGGCACTGTAAGCTGGAAGCACTGTAAGCTGGAGGCACTGTAAGCTGGAGGCACTGGAAGCTGGGGGCACTGTAAGCTGGAAGCACTGTAAGCTGGAGGCACTGTAAGCTGGAGGCACTGTAAGCTGGAGGCACTGTAAGCTGGAGGCACTGTAAGCTGGAAGCACTGTAAACTGGAGGCACTGGAAGCTGGAGGCACTGTAAGCTGGAAGCACTGTAAGCTGGAGGCACTGTAAGCTGGAGGCACTGTAAGCTGGAGGCACTGTAAGCTGGAAGCACTGTAAGCTGGAGGTAGTGTAAGCTGGAAGCACTGTAAGCTGGAGGCAGTGTAAGCTGGAGGCACTGTAAGCTGGAGGCACTGGAAGCTGGAGGCACTGTAAGCTGGAAGCACTGGAAGCTGGAGGCACTGTAAGCTGGAAGCACTGTAAACTGGAGGCTCTGGAAGCTGGAGGCACTGTAAGCTGGAAGCACTGTAAGCTGGAGGCACTGTAAGCTGGAGGCACTATAAGCTGGAAGCACTGTAAGCTGGAGGTAGTGTAACCTGAAAGCACTGTAAGCTGGAGGCACTGTAAGCTGAAAGCACTGTGAGCTGGAGGAACTGTAAGCTGGAGGTAGTGTAAGCTGGAAGCACTGTAAGCTGGAGGCTCTATAAGACGGAAGTTGTGTAAAACAAGAACCTTACTTAGTAATTAAAATGTTGCTGAACTTTGCTAGTTGGGAAACGCTTTCTTGCTTCAGCTCATTATAAAGTCTGTGGTGAGAGAAGTTGATCAAGAGAATGAATGGTGTTGAAGATGCTGTGTAGTGCGAGGCAGCCGTGACTTAACCTTCAGGCTGTGTGGCTGCAGCTGTGGGCTCCAGCTGTGGGGCTGCAGCTGTGGGGCTGCAGCTGTGGGGCTGCAGCTGTGGGCTCCAGCTGTGGGCTCCAGCTGTGGGGCTGCAGCTGTGGGGCTGCAGCTGTGGGGCTGCAGCTGTGGGCTCCAGCTGTGGGGCTCCAGCTGTGAGCTCCTGCTGTGGGGCTCCAGTTGTGGGCTCCAGCTCTGGGCTCCAGCTGTGGTCTCCAGCTGTGGGGCTCCAGCTGTGGGGCTCCAGCTGTGGGCTCCAGCGGTGGCCTGCAGGTGTGGGCTCCAGCTGTGGTCTCCAGCTGTGGGCTGCAGCTGTGGGGTCCAGCTGTGAGCTCCAGATGTAGGCTCCTGTTGTTGGCTGCAGCTGTGGGCTCCAGTTCTGGGCTCCAGCTGTGGGGCTCCAGTTGTGGGCTCCAGCTGTGGGGCTTCAGCTGTGGGCTCCAGCTGTGGGGTTCAGCTCTAGGCTCCAGCTGTGGTCTCCAGTTGTGGGCTCCAGCTGTAGGCTCCAGCTATGGGCTGCAGTTGTGAGTTCCAGTTGTGGGCTCCAGTTGTGGGCTCCAGCTGTGGACTCCAGCTGTGGGCTGCAGCTGTGGGCTCCAGTTGTGGGCTCCAGCTGTGGGATCCAGCTGTGGGGGTTCAGCTCTAGGCTCCAGCTGTGGGCTCCAGTTGTGGGCTCCAGCTGTAGGCTCCAGCTATGGGCTCCAGTTGTGGATTCCAGCTGTGGGCTCCAGTTGTGGGCTCCAGCTGTAGGCTCCAGCAATGGGCTCCAGTTGTGGGCTCCAGCTGTGGACTCCAGTTGTGGGCTGCAGCTGTGGGCTGCAGCTGTGGGCTGCAGCTGTGGGCTGCAGCTGTGGGCTCCAGCCGTGGGCTCCAGTTGTGGGCTGCAGCTGTGGGCTGCAGCTGTGGGCTGCAGCTGTGGGCTGCAGCTGTGGGCTCCAGTTGTGGGCTGCAGCTGTGGGCTCCAGTTGTAGGCTGCAGCTGTGGGCTCCAGTTGTGGGCTGCAGCTGTGGGCTCCAGTTGTGGGCTGCAGCTGTGGGCTGCAGCTGTGGGCTCCAGTTGTGGGCTGCAGCTGTGGGCTCCAGTTGTGGGCTGCAGCTGTGGGCTCCAGTTGTGGGCTGCAGCTGTGGGCTCCAGTTGTGGGCTCCAGTTGTGAGCTCTAATTGTGGGCTCCAGTTGTGGGCTGCAGCTGTGGGCTCCAGTTGTGGGCTCCAGTTGTGGGCTCCAGTTGTGGGCTCCAGCTGTAGGCTCCAGCTATGGGCTGCAGTTGTGGGTTCCAGTTGTGGGCTCCAGTTGTGGGCTCCAGCTGTGGACTCCAGCTGTGGGCTGCAGCTGTGGGCTCCAGTTGGCTCCAGTTGGCTCCAGTTGTGGGCTCCAGCTGTGGGATCCAGCTGTGGGGGTTCAGCTCTAGGCTCCAGCTGTGGGCTCCAGTTGTGGGCTTCAGCTGTAGGCTCCAGCTATGGGCTCCAGTTGTGGATTCCAGCTGTGGGCTCCAGTTGTGGGCTCCAGCTGTAGGCTCCAGCTATGGGCTCCAGTTGTGGGCTCCAGCTGTGGACTCCAGTTGTGGGCTGCAGCTGTGGGCTCCAGCTGTGGGCTGCAGCTGTGGGCTGCAGCTGTGGGCTCCAGTTGTGGGCTGCAGCTGTGGGCTGCAGCTGTGGGCTGCAGCTGTGGGCTCCAGTTGTGGGCTGCAGCTGTGGGCTCCAGTTGTGGGCTGCAGCTGTGGGCTCCAGTTGTGGGCTGCGCAGCTGTGGGCTGCAGCTGTGGGCTCCAGTTGTGGGCTGCAGCTGTGGGCTCCAGTTGTGGGCTCCAGCTGTGGGCTCCAGTTGTGGGCTCCAGCTGTGGGCTCCAGTTGTGGGCTAGCTGCAGCTGTGGGCTGCAGCTGTGGGCTGCAGCTGTGGGCTGCAGCTGTGGGCTCCAGTTGTGGGCTGCAGCTGTGGGCTCCAGTTGTGGGCTCCAGTTGTGGGCTCCAGTTGTGGGCTGCAGCTGTGGGCTCCAGTTGTGGGCTGCAGCTGTGGGCTCCAGCTGTGGGCTGCAGTTGTGGGCTCCAGTTGTGGGCTCCAGTTGTGGGCTCCAGTTGTGGCCTGCAGCTGTGGACTCCAGTTGTGGGCTGCAGCTGTGGGCTCCAGTTGTGGGCTCCAGTTGTGGGCTCCAGTTTTGGGCTCCAGTTGTGAGCTCTAGTTGTGGGTTCCAGTTGTGGGCTCCAGTTTTGGGCTCCAGTTGTGGGTTCCAGTTGTAGGCTGCAGCTCTGATCTCCAGTTGTGGGCTCCAGTTGTGGGCTCCAGCTGTGGGTTCCAGCTGTGGGCTCCAGCTGTGGGCTCCAGCTGTGGGGCTCCAGCTGTGGGGCTCCAGTTGTGGGCTCCAGCTGTGGAGCTTCAGCTGTGGGCTCCAGCTGTGGGGCTCCAGCTCTGGGCTCCAGCTGTGGTCTCCAGCTGTGGGGCTCCAGCTGTGGGCTCCACCTGTGGGCTCCACCTGTGGGCTCCACCTGTGGGCTCCAGCTGTGGGGCTCCAGCTGTGGGCTCCACCTGTGGGCTCCACCTGTGGGCTCCAGCTGTGGGGTTCCAGCTGTGGGCTCCAACTGTGGGCTCCAGCTGTGGGCTCCAGCTGTGGTCTCCAGCTGTGGGCTTCAGCTGTGTGCTCCAGCTCTCATTGCCACCAAGTCATTACTCGACCGTGAGTCAATTAAGAATTTTGAATTGTCGTTTTTAGCTGAGCGTCTTGTGTTATAATGACCATCTTCGTGGCGTACACGAAGACGTTCATAGTAGAGAACCTAGAGACCGTTCACCTTAAACCCATCGAAATATTAGTCAATAACCCATACCCACACATATAACATATATGAAAATGGCGACGTTTCGGTCGCTCCTGAATACCTTATTGGTTCGTAACGGTGGAAGAGTGAGTAATTTACCACGCCGAAGACGGGACCAGCAACAGCAGTCAAGGCTTCAAACACGTTGTCAGGGCCAACGTTCTGTCTTAGAAGAAATTGGGAGATAGGAAGGAGCAGGAGGGTAGGGAGGAGGAAGGTAGGGAGGAGGAAGGTAGAGAGGAGGAAGGTAGGGAGGAGGATGGTAGAGAGGAGGAAGGTAGGGAGGAGGAAGGTAGGGAGGAGGAAGGTAGGGAGGAGGAAGGTAGGGAGGAGGAAGGTAGGGAGGAGGAAAGTAGGGAGGAGGAAGGTAGGGAGGAGGAAAGTAGGGAGGAGGAAGGTAGGAAGGAAGAAGGGTTATCTTCTGCGGCGGTTCTTATCGCCATGTGAGCGAACATTTTCCAACATTTAGCATCCCGCTGCTATCAAGTAAGAATGAGTTGCGCCATATGGCACCAAGATAGCTGACTGCACGTGGCTTTTACCAGATCAAATTTCACCCAGATATCATCTGTCATAAATGGATTTCCAGTTTTTCTACTGACTGGAGTTTGGCTTTTCTCCTCCCAGAGCCGATAACCTTGGTGTGGATCATACCATGGTCAGGTTATCTGTTCCTCTGTTATCGTGCTTACTTAGTGCTCTCTCTCTCTCTCTCTCTCTCTCTCTCTCTCTCTCTCTCTCTCTCTCTCTCTCTCTCTCTCTCTCTCTCTCTCTCTCTCTCTCTCTCTCTCTCTCTCTCTCTCTTACACACACAAATATATCCTATTCGACTTAGCATCTAAACTGGACGAAATAGAGTCTCTTTGATCAGTCATAATTACAACAACAACAAAACAATAAATATCACAAACAAATCAGCAACTTTCTCCCAACAACCACAGCAATCTCCCACAGATCCATACACAGTTTCAAATGAAGATATAATAGAACCCAGCAGGCTCAGGAATCTGTACACCAGTTGATTGACAATTGAGAGGCGGGATCTCTGAGCCAAAGCTCAACCCCCGCAAGCACAACTAGGTGAGTACAACTAGGCTGTACAACCTCCCTCCTACAACAGAGGGACAGACAGAAAAATCTAGGAGTTGATATCACGCCAAACTTGTCTCTTGAAGCCCACATCAAAATAATATAATCAGCGGCATATACGAGACGGGCTAACAACAAAACTTCCTTTAGAAACTTGTGTAAGGAACCATTCAGAACCTTATATACCACATATGTCAGACTAATCCTGGAGTATGCGGCCCCAGTATGGAGCCCGTACCTTGTCAAGCACAAGACAAAGCTGGAGAAAGTTCTGAGGTATGCCACTAGACTAGTCCCAGAACTAAGAGGCATGAGTTATGAAGAAGGGCTGCGTGAAATGCACCTCACGTCGCTGGAAGACAGAAGAGCTCGGGGAGACATGATCATCACATACACAATTCTGAGTGGAATTGACAGTGTAGATAAGGATGGACTATTTAACACTGGTTGAAAGCGAACAAGGGGACACAGGTGGAAGCTGAGTACCCAAATGAGCCACAGAGACATTAAAAAGAACTTTTTCAGTGTCAGAGTAGTTAGTAAATGGAATGCATTAGGCAGTGCTGTGGAGGAGGCTGACTCCAGACACAATTTCAAATGTAGATATGATAGAGCCCAGTAGGCTCATGAGTCTGTACTCCAGTTGATTGACAGTTGAGAGGCGGGACCAAAGAGCAGAAGCTTAACCCCCGCAAGCACAACTGGGTGAGTACAACCATAATCTTGCTCCAAGAGTCACAACTTTCCTCCCACAACCATTCAAAATCACAATCATAACCCCTCACAACTATTAATAATTACACCCACACCCTAAGCCCCATTATACAGTCTGAACCTCAACTTGGAAATTACAACCCCAATACAAGCCAAAGTTACAACCACAGCATTAACCGCGGCTTCAACTCCTACTTACAACTAGCAACCCAACATCCACCTCACAACCACAACTCTCACCTCCCTTCAACAATCACTGGAACAATCTCCTTTCTTAACGAATTCCAATCTCAAGACTCCCAACCAGTCACAACCCTACAACCACAACTACAACCCCCAAAATTCAGAGTCACATCCAGCTACAACACTCATCCGTAACAAAACTCCCAAATCACATCCACAGTCACGTCATTGAAATTATAAACACAACCCCAAACTTACAACCCGTAATTTATAACCAAAATCACAACTTTTTTTTTACAAACTCTAGTTTAAATCAATAACCCATAGTTAGAAAGGTCAGTATAAAATCAAAACCACCCTTACTTACAAGCACAAAATCACAACCACAACAATACACCCAATTTACAAACACAAAACAACAATAAAAGCAACAACCTCGAGAAACAGCTCCAAGCAACAGCCTGGAGAAACAGCTCCAAGCAACAGCCTGGAGAAACAGCTCCAAGCAACAACCTCGAGAAACAGCTCCAAGCAACAGCCTGGAGAAACAGCTCCAAGCAACAGCCTGGAGAAACAGCTCCAAGCAACAGCCTGGAGAAACAGCTCCAAGCAACAGCCTGGAGAAACAGCTCCAAGCAACAGCCTTAAGCAACTACACACAAACATTAATTAGCACTACCTTGAGGCTAACTTGAGGCGGTTACGGAGGATCAATGTCCACTCGCGACCGGGTGTCGAACGAGACCTGATCGACAAAACTGTTGGTTGCCGCTGCACGCACAATGACGTAGGAATCACAGCCTGATGGATCGGCTGCTTTTTGAAGGCGCTTAACAGCGTCCCTCTCGTGCACTGTTGCAACTTATCAACTTATCAGGGCTCGAACTTACAAATTTAAACCTTAAATTCCAATGTTTACCTCAACTCATAACGATATCAAGCAACCACAACCACACCAAGTAACCACAACCACATAACCACAACCCAAACAAGTACCTCACAACCATGATAAACAACCACAACCCCACATATATATCCCCACATATATATCCTCACATATATATCCCCACATATATATCCCCACATATATATCCCCACATATATATCCCCACATATATATCCCCACATATATATCCCCACATATATATCCTCACATATATATCCCCACATATATATCCCCACATATATATCCCCACATATATATCCCCACATATATATCCCCACATATATATCCCCACATATATATCCCCACATATATATCCTCACATATATATCCCCACATATATATCCCCACATATATATCCCCACATATATATCCCCACATATATATCCCCACATATATATCCTCACATATATATCCCCACATATAAACCTCCCAATATTAAAATCATCGCAAGAACAATAAGGATGATAACAAAATAGATAAATGAAAAAACGGCATATATAATGCCCAGTGTTTATCTGGTCATAACAAATGCGCATCACCTTGCCTTAAGGTTATCGTGGAGGAGGATCTAACGCTGCTATCGGGCAAGCTGAGTGGGTCTGGATTCCTTTGTCTCTTCTCCTGCTGCTTCTTGAATCCTGTTGGCGTGACAGAGTGAACCTGGACATTGATATTCTGAATTTGTAAAGATGGATTTTTTTTGGGGGGCACGTATTTTTTCAGTGCTGTGTGTGTGTGAGAGAGAGAGAGAGAGAGAGAGAGAGAGAGAGAGAGAGAGAGAGAGAGAGAGAGAGAGAGAGAGAGAGAGAGAGAGAGAGAGAGAGAGAGAGGGAGAGGGAGAGAGAGAGAGAGAGAGAGAGAGAGAGAGAGAGAGAGAGAGAGAGAGAGAGAGAGAGAGAGAGAGAGAGAGAGAGAGAGAGAGAGAGAGAGAGAGAGGAGAGAGAGAGAGAGAGAGGGGGAGGAGAGAGAGAGAGAGGGGAGAGAGAGAGAGAGAGAGAGAGAGAGAGAGAGAGGAGAGAGAGAGAGAGAGAGGAGAGAGAGAGAGAGAGAGAGAGAGAGAGAGAGAGAGAGAGGAGAGAGAGAGAGAGAGAGAGAGAGAGAGAGAGAGAGGAGAGAGAGAGAGAGAGAGGGAGAGAGAGAGAGAGAGAGAGAGAGAGAGAGAGAGAGAGAGAGAGAGAGAGAGAGAGAGAGAGAGAGAGAGAGAGAGAGAGAGAGAGAGAGAGAGAGAGAGAGAGAGAGAGAGAGAGAGAGAGAGAGAGAGAGAGAGAGAGAGAGAGAGAGAGAGAGAGAGAGAGAGAGAGAGAGAGAGAGAGAGAGAGAGAGAGTAGACTAGTGCTGTGAGTGGTCCTCAATGGATCAGAATCCGATAGGCACTCAACTGGTGGCAGCGTTCCACAGGGTAGTGTGCTTGGCCCTCTGCTGTGGAATGTTTATTTCAACGATCTAAACGATCTACTTCATCTCATTCCTGAAGCTCAAGCCTATGCTGATGACTGTACTCTAACCTTTACATACAGAAAGGAAGAAATGCCAACTGCTACAAGAATCATCACTCACCAGCTTTCAGCGATTTCTACCTGGCATAGGAAATGGCAGGTCACATTTGCGGCTGAGAAGACACAAGCGATGATGATAACTAGACTGCACATGGCGAATCGGACGGAACTGCAAATGGATGGCAAAACCCTAGAGTTCACAGATGAAATTGACATCTTGGGGACTCTTCAATGACAATGAAAAGCCATGGGCTTAACTTAGCACAAAAGGCAGCCAGGAAACTTACAGCCTTACGGCCGTCTCACATCTTCTTGACAGCAAGGATGCTAAACCTTATATGAAACACAAGTTCGCTCTCATCTAGAGTATGCACCCCTTTCCTGGATCGCCTGCCCCCCATCATTCGTCAGACTGTTGGACAAAGGGGAGAGACGGGCAAGAAGGCTTATCTCTAGTCTTGACCAAGTCTGATGGGAACGGTCTGCAACACCGTCGGGACGTTGGTGATCTTACTGTTATGTAGAAGGCTACATTCTCAAAGATCCGCACCTGGCCAAACTCCGTGGAGTACCAACAGTTGCCACCCATAGCACTAGGCTCTCAAACTTCAACAGTCTCAGGCTGGAAGTGCCTTTCTCAATGAACCTCACTCCATCAGCAATCGTTCACTCCGAGGCTGACTCGCATATGGAACTTGTTCGCCCAACAAGTTGATACACGGGATATCAGGTCATCTGATCACATGAAGGCTCTGGCACACAGTTGGCTACAGGCTCATCCTGTTCCTTATATGATTGTTACTTAATGTTGGCAAAGAATAAAGACTATTCCTAATGTTGCATATAAAATGCTCATGAAATAAATGGGCCATTAGGAGTGGGTTTTAACTTAGCTGAGGAAGGATTACAGCTCTTGCTTGCAGTTTCATCAGGTTCCTTATATGATAGTTCCCTATGTGATAGTTTCATAGTACATTCTCGAGAAATAAATGAGTTTCTAGGAGCAGGCATCAGATGAACTGAGGTAGGATAACAGCTCTTGCTTGCAGTTTCACTAGGAGAGAGAGAGAGAGGGGGGGGGGATATGTAAAAGATGTAATGAAGAAAAAAATGGACGGGAGTCAGCACATTTGACAACCGACGGTTAGAAAGGTGGGATCCAAGAGCCAAAAACTCGGTCCCGCAAGCACAAATAGTAAATATACACATATTCACAAACAGGTGAGTACAAATAGGTGAGTACAGACACACACACACACACCCCACTCATATACATGAAAGAACATACATATATATACATACATACAAACACATTTGCTTATATACACACATATTTACCTTTTGATTGACAGTTGAGAAGCGGGACCAAAGAGCAAAAGCTCAACCCTCGCAAGCGCAACTAGGTGAGTACACACAATTATACACACACCACACACATAAACACACACACACATACACAAAGTGACTGTCTTCTTCGCATTGAAGAATACTCGAACGACGACGACGAGCCGATGGTTGCAGCTCTCGCGTCACAAACTGTACTGATCCTTCCGCAGGTTTACCTACGGAAAAGGAGCTCAATGCCAGCTTTCATGGAGTGTTCACTTATGAGCTTGAACGGCTCCCGGAACTAGATGAAGAAGCAGCCCCTGACGAAGCACTACTAAATATTGAAGAAACAGTGGAGGAAGTAAGAATACAGCTAGCATCACTGGTTGTAACTAAAGCTACTGGCCCAGACAGAGTATCACAATGTATCCTGAAAGAAGCAGCACAGGCCATCAACATACTTCTAGCACTAATCTTTAATGAGACACTTACACAGGGGTAATTGCCAATTCGCTGGAAGAAGGCAAATGTGGTGCAAAAGTGGGCAAATCTGCAAGAAAGGAGACAGAGAAGAGGCACTTAGCAACAGACCAGTGTCGCTCACAAGCATCCCTTGCAAAATATTCGAGAAACTTATAAGAGTTAAGACTAGTTAGATACCTAGAGAGAAATGGATTTGTAAATTAACAACACGGTTTTGGGAAAGGGAATCATACCTGATTAACCTCCTGGAGTTTTATGATAAGGTAACGAAAATATGGCAAGACAGAGAAGGATGGGCAGATTGCGTATTTCTGGACTACCAAAACGCCTTTGATACAGTACAACACACATACGCATGGCTACTATACAAACCTGAGAGGCAGGCGAGAGTAGGCAGCAACGCACTATCATGGTTTATGAATTACCAGACAGACAGATGTCAGAGAGTGAAAGTGAAGAGCGAGGAGCCCGACTGGAGTAGAGTAACAAGCGGGGTGCCTCAAGGATCGGTGCTGGGACTCATTCTATTCCTCTTTTATGTAAATGACTTGACTGCAGAATTTGAGTTTTTTATGTCGATGTTTGCAGATGATGCAAAACTAATGAGGAGGGTTGAGACAGAGCTGGTTCGAGAAATGACTGCTAGAGATCAACATCATCAAGTGTAAGGTGATGAAAATGTGATCAGGAGCCAGGAGACCGAAAGGCCGATGCACGGTGAAGGAAAACTACATCCCTTTAAAGACTAGATAAAAAACCTGGGGGTGGACATAACACTAAACCTAACTCCAGAGGCTTACATAAATAGAATAACGTCAGCCGCATACTCTACTCTGGCAAAAGTCAGAACATCCTTCAGAAACTTAAATAACGAGGGTTTTAGATCGCTATATACCGCCTATGTGAGGCCAGTCTATATACCGCCTACGTGAGGGAGGGAGAGTCGGGACATGATACAGATGTATAAATGACATGAAAAGAGGAAATGTTTACAATGAATAACAATAGAACAAGGGGGGGGGGAAACGGATATAAACTTGAGACTCAGATGTGTCATAGAGATGCTAGAAAGTTTTCCTTTAGCATAAGGGTAGTGAGTAAATGGAATGACCTAAAGAGCAGGTTGAAGAGGCTAGCTCCATTTATAACTTTAAAAAGCAGGTATGAAAGAGAAATAGGTCAGGAGTCATTGCATTAGAAAACTAACGGCTAGAAAAGCGATGCCCAAGAGCTAGAGCTCGATCCTGCAGGCATAAATAGAGGAGTAGTAAAAATAGGCAAGTGAATACACAAACACACACACACATACGTCTTGTAGATATGATAGAGCCCAGTAGGCTCGGGAATCTGTACACCAGTTGATTGACAGTTCAGAGGCCGGACCAAAGAGCCAGAGCTCAACCCCCTGCAAGCACAATTAGGTGAGTACACACACACACACACACACACACACACACACACACACACACACACACACACACACACACACACACACACACACACACACACACACACACACACACACATACAATTAAGGATAGGGGCAGAAGGATTCACTACAAACGACAAGGAAGTGTGTGAGGAACTGAATAAGAAAT